GCATGGTAGAGTCTACTAAAGTTACATAGGGGTGAAAGTGTTAAAAATATTTTAAAACAACCTAGATCACAAGGATACTATGTGTGATATAATGATACTGTAAGGGTACTTATTAAGCACACTCAAATTTTAGCATATTATCAAATTTTAACAGATTTATAGTGCATTGATGAATTGGTGCACCCGCAATTTCACAATAAAAACTGATATACAGGAACTTCAATTGGCCCAATCATAATTTAACGCAACATCTAAAATAGCGCTAAAATAAGGCCATCACTAAAATATGAACGCTCACAGTAGTATCATGGTAAACCGTTATGCACGCCCAACAGGCACATATACGGCAATAGGGTGGTGATCTCTACCCTTTTATGTTAAGACCTAGGGATTTCATCCCCAGGGCAAAGGCTAGACAGAATTATCACTAGCTGAGGATGCTTCCAACAAAATATGGTTGATATTCACCTAAGTGTTCCAGAGGAAAAGTCACTTAAAGGAGTATGGTCAAATTACTGCGACATTTTGTAATTATGCAGTACAGAAGAAGTGGGTTGAAAAAGTTGTTGAGATGCTCTGGTGCAGGATAAGCTTGCTTTAGCCTTTTGGACCAGGTGAAATGAAAATTTATTCCATGCAATGGCCCAACAATGTTGCATTCCATTTTACAATCAAATGAATATATCAAACTGTATCCTTCCTATATACGACAGCAGATGATAGATGCTGGGCCCTGACATAAGTTCACAAGATCATAGTGTCAGATGAGCTAAAATATATTAATCTACAATGAAATAATTCCATAAATAACATGAAATAGAAATCATGCAATACAGTGAATCAGAATATTTTGTCTGCACTCCCATTCTGCATTACAGGAATACAAACTCGGACAACAAATCTACCTCCAATCCCAAACACCACCACCAGGCCTGTTCCTACTCTTCCCTCCTAATACAGATCTAGATGTAGGGGTAACTTACAAATAGTTTTCAGTGAATTCCTCAAATCCCACTAATGGCCTCCTCATACAGAAATAGAAAAATTTCACCAGGTCGTGCAAGAAGTAGCTTTCTGGGCTGTTAACAGGAAGAAAACACAAATCACTGACGGGTCTTAAATGCATATACATGTATTACAGTCAAACATTGATGTTTTGATCTTTGTAACCAACGGGGAAAATTAGAAACATTGATACATTGATTCGCGAATGTTGATCTTCGAACATCTATGAGATCTAGTTTATTTAATTTGATATCTATAAATATTGTTTCATGTAATTATATATTATAATTTGCATGTTTAGGTGTTAAACTTAAAATGACCCCATGACATGTCAATGTTCTCAGGAAATTGTTTTACTTTGATTTGTTAGCTGTAATTTTCAATGTTTCCTTAACAATTGGACCGTGATTGTTGTTCGAAACAGAGATAAATTTTGACCAGGTGAGTTAAAAATGAATTTAAAACAGTTTCGGTTTCTGAACCTACCCAAGGGCTTCGTATATCTGGCCTCTGGCCTCTGGTTTTCCTAGAGCAGAGATGACACCATCTACCACGTCTGAGCCCTGAAACACAAAAAATACTGAGGTTATATAGAAAATTTGATACAGATTTGAATTCACTTTTCAGCTACTGGTACATAAACCACAGTAGGTATTTAACTCATTCAACCCTGAAGACACATTTTAACTCTTCCAATTCA